CACGTGCCTGAGGAGATCCTGGCCGTGATGCAGCAGGAGCCCATCGTGCTGCCAGCCTGGGACCCCATGGGGGCTTTGGCCAAGTGAAGCAGGGAGCATTTGCCTCCCCATGGCCATCAGAAGTAGCTGCAATAGAGAATTCCAGTGGTCGGAAGCCATAGCCAAACAATAACGAGACCGAGCCCTCGGCCTGGTCCCTATTCCTGAAATGTAAGTTAAGGATCCTTGGGAAATAGCGCTTCACTGATCCCAGCTCTCAGACAGGCTGCTCCAAAACTCACAAGGGAAAAGGAAAAAAACCTCACAATGAAAGCAGATGATAAGTGCTGTCAATGGCAGTTTGATTTTACCTTAAATTTTTAATGCGAATCAGCGTAGTAATGTAGTAAAATTACCTTGACTGATGTTTTCCCTAGGAAAAATGGGCATTAAAGGCCCTTTAGAATTAATAGTTAGGTGATTGTTAGAGCAAACATATTGAGATAATTAACCAATTATGGTCTGGCTTGTCCTAGAAAAACTCCCCAAAAATATTTTATATATTTACAGTTTTAGTTTTGCTGAAGTTTTGGAGGGGATGTATGAATTGAAACTGCTAAAAATGACCTTTAGAAAACTTTCTCTTCCAGCAGAACTGGGGAAGGGGAATGGTTTCCTTGAGGAATCCAGTTCCACTTGGTTTTATTCTTCCATTATTGAGCTGGGACTGGATAACCCCCCCAGGGGCCAGTGCTATGTCTGTGTGCACAGGAGCGCTATTTTTCAGTTATTTTAGCAAGAGCAACCATAAATATGTTCACAGGTGGAGTTAGTGTCATGCTCAACAGAAAAACCAACGTTTTAATTGCTGCATTTTATTTGGTTGTTTTAAAAAACAAGATGGTGCTATGAAGCTTTTGAATAAACACTTTCTAAAGTGACTGGGACAGTTCTGGTTTCTTTTTTTAAAGAGGTGCATGGAGCTGCTGGAATGGGAAGATGTTGGTGAGCTGCAATGAGGGTGTGGTGCCTCCATCACAGACCTGGTGCAGAAATGGGTACAGAAATGTCAGAAATGGCACTGGTGGAGCTGATCCTCCTTTGGGCAGGTGGATGGAGCAGATGATTCTCCAGGGACACATTTGGGGTCTCATGCAGAGTCTCCACTTTGTGCTGTCACTTGAGTGAAGGCAAGCAAACAGTTCTTGTACTCCCTGGTGGCTCTGACACGGAGCCAGATCTCTTGGAAAGCTGTGCTATGCACAATATTTTCATTATGACTAATGCATGGGTTGTTTTGGGGGCTTTTTCCTCCTCCAAAAGGTCAGTAATTTTAGTCCTTCAAGATCTTTCTACCTACGACCTTAACACCAGTTCTTCTGTTTCCTCTGTGCTATCTATGAGTATGATATCAGCCAAGGAGAATTAACTTTTTCTCCAGAGTTTAACTGACATTTTTGTTGCTGGTGGTAGCACCGATGAGGATTGAGCTTGATAAACTCAAAACTGATTCCAAGCCAGTTTTTGTTAGTTTCAGTATTTTAAGGTATTGTCCAGCCTGTGCTTATCTCCCCAGTTCTTGCCCAGATATTTCCCTGTACACTTTATACAATAGTACTGTGGTTTTTTTCTTTTCCTTCAAATAAGCACAGAAAATCCACATGGCTGAAACACATTATGGGGAACGAAGCCAATCTGGCAGCAGCACTTGTGCCTTCATGCCCTGTGATTTTGTAAGTTCTTTCCATGGTGGAATTGAGAAGGGGAGGGGGAAATGCAGATGCCAAGGTGAGAGCTGTGGTTTTTTTCTCTGGGGGCAGTTGAGGTTTGTGCTGGTGCCACCAAGTCAAGGATATTCCTCTCCCTGTGGGAGGACAGCCATGGAAACTTTGGTAAGGATTGGTGCCTGCAGGCTCTTTTATCCATCAACACCTTCCAGTTGCCTGGTTTTAACCTGTAGTTTGAAATGTGGGTAAAACCTGTGGGTGGAATGATTCCCATGAACTGATTCCCTTCTGCTGTGACTTTCACTGGGTCACTCTGCCCTTTTGTCCTGAGGGAGGGCTCACTGATGAGATCAGCAGCCTTGAGATAAGGCTGGAGGCAGCTGGGTGATGATGGAGCTGCCATGAGGAATTCTCAGGGTCCTGCACAGCACAAGGCACAGCTGGATCCAAGGAGGTGTGTGGGAGAGACTTCACAGCCAGGGATTGTTCCCAATGGATTGTCCCAGCACTTCTCCTGAGGGTGTGCTGGAGGAACAAGCCACTTAACCCCTGTCAGTGCACAGGAGGTGGTTCAGAGATGATAAACAATTAAACTTTCCAAAGGATGGAATGGAAATAATGTGGGAATAAGCCTGGCTTGCTGATTTGTTGTCAGTCAGCAAAGAAAGCTCTGTGAACTGTAAATCCAGACTATGAAAAAGTTAAGATACAACTGCTAAAAAGATGCTTTGGTTAGAATAAAGTAACAATTAGTGCCCACCGTATTTCAATGCTGATTTCTCCCTTAGTTTATATATATATGTATCCTTTGCAAAGCTTTACCTTTAGATTGCTGAGGAACCAGCTGACTTAATAGTTTCCTTTTCCAGTTTGTCAACAAAACCATGCAGTTTTCATGTGAGAATTCAAAGACAGTTCCCCTGACAGGTGGTAAATATTGACAGATAGTACTATGAAAGTCAACTCTCTCAGATTTAATCAAGTGGCAGAAAATAACAATTCCTAATGAGGGAACTGAGGAGAGGTTATGTGTAGTGGTGCTTTGTGGGTTCTAGGAATCAGATTTCCCCATTGGAATGTGCTCTTAAAACAGTTGTGGAAATAACAAAACCTCTCCAAAACTCATCCAACTGCCAGATGTGCATCCCAGCAGTGTGGAAAATAGCAGGAAAGGGCAATCAGAATTTCTTTTATCCCAAAGCCAATCATAATATCTTCTAAATGTAGTCTGATTGCTAACTAAGGAAAGATAGGAACAAACAAATATTGCAGGATTTGTTTGGTTTGTGTTATTTGGAAAATTGTTCCAACCCTTTTATTGGCAGTGAATCAGAGCCACTTGCAGAGCCATTGCTGATCTCACAGTACAGTTGGTACTACTTTTATGAGGTCATTTCAGTGATGATTCCCATCCTTGTGCTGGAATCTGCAGCTGCTTTATCTGTGTGTCTTGTGTAAAGTCCATTTTCTTTCTTTTTTTTTTTCATACTTTCCCTAAATCATCAAAATTTCACCCATCAAAGCCCAGATTTCATGAGAGTCTGGATCTGGCTCAGTTACAGCCCCTGAAAGTTTTTCACTTATGAGATAAATAAGGTGTTACAACATTAAGGAGTTTTGCCTGACATCTGCAGTCTGTTATTTCTATTATGTCCCAAAGGCTCCAGGCTGTTTGGCAAGAAATTCAAAACAAAAAAACCCAACACAACAAAACCAAACCCAGTAACTGCTGCAGAAGACAATGAAAAAAACACCTGAACAAAAACGCCTGGGTAAGGCATAAAAGAACCTACTCTAAGCAGAGACTGAGATGGAGAGAAACATCAGACAAAGGTCACAATCCCTCTAAAATTTTTTTAAAACCCAAGATATAATTATGTAATGAGCAGAAGGGCTTTCAGTAGAGAGAATTCATTTCTTGCAAGCAGATAGAAAAAGTGAGTGTGGAAAACCCCTTCAATTCTCCCAGCAGTGGTGAGCTGGAAATCTGTATGAAAAGTAAAGGTGCAGATTCCTTGTGCCACCCATCCTCTCAAGAAAGAAAAATTCTGCTCTCCAGAGCCTGGGATCTGATCCACAGCTGGATATTTGCACATTGAACTCTGTGCTGTGACCTGCAGAAAGGTTTGGTGGGTGAGGCATGGCAGGATCTGTCCTTGCAATCCGTCTGGAATAGGACAAAACAGAGGGAAGGTCGTGGAGGAATATCAAAGGCAAGGACACGAACTGGGGGGGTTTTCCAGCCTGCAGCCAAGGGAGGTGATCACCAATCCTGATTATTGTGGAAAGCAGGACACAGGAGGGAAATCCAGCCCAGCAGACCGGAGGTGAGTATTGCTGTTTGCACAAAAAGATCAATGAATTTCTACAGCAAGTGAAGGGAAAAAAGCTCAATTTGACGAAACGGCCTTAAGGCAGTTCCCAGGGCAGTAAATGGGAAACAAAGCTGATTTCAGCGCGTCCCTCGTGTGTGCAGCTGCAGTGCCCGAGCTCTCCTTGAGATGGTGCAGGAGCCTCGCCCTGCCGAGGGCTCCGGCAGGGACCAGGGACAGCAGAGGAAAGTGCAGATTACAGCTCTTCAGTTTCCAGTTTATTTTCTTTTCAATTGTTTGGAAGAAGTCTCTGAAAACTGGCAACTGCTTACAGCAAAGCTGCTGCTGCTCCAGCAATCAGCTACTCTTACTTGTTGCCCCTATTCTGCTTTTCCACCTTTTTTTTTTCCCCCCCTAAATCTGCCACCTAAACTATGGCATTGACCTGTGATTTATGACCTTTTATAAACAAGTCGTGGAGTGCAGAAATGAAGAAATCCTGGATGAAAAACACTGGAGAAAAAAACGTGTTAGAAGTGGACTGAGGTATTTGAAGTAGTGGTAGGAAGAAAGGAAATTACTTGTTGAGCTTATTGAGGCAGCAAAACACTTGTAAAGAATTTGTGCTTCAAGCTTTAAGAACCAAACTAAACCTTATTTCTTTATTAAAATAATGCAGCTATTCAGGATTATTGAAAAGAAAGTATTCTTTTCAAGAATTTAAGAGAATTGAAAAGAAATTATTCTTTTCAAGCCCTTTTATTGTAATAATATCCCAGTCCTTCCTATCCCCCTGTAATCTACAGAAATTTCTAATTCACTGACTCCTTCAAAACTTCGTTGTGTCCATCCTCATCCCCATGGTGTTATTTGTATTTATAACAACACCCAGCAAAGCTGTCCCTTCCCAGGAAAGCTCCCCTTCCTTCTGCCTCTGCCTTCATTGGATCCTGCTCGCCAGAAGAGATCAGAGCAGGCAAATGTAGCCACCCACCTCTAGGAGGAAAACTGAGCTGCAGCCCTGGTGAAACATAAAGTTTATTTGACTAAAGTGACGCAAAAATTCTTAAAGAGCTCTTTGGCAGCAGATTATCTGGCAATCAGACCATGTGAGGGGGACTGGTGTACAAAAAGCTGCCCAGGATGCTGAGGTGGCCACAGGCTGAGGTAAATGTGGCTGAAGGGGACTCGAGCTTGGATCTCTGCGAGGGCAGCGCTTCGGACCCACCCCGCACACAGGTACTCGATCATTTTGTGCTTACACAGCCGTGGCTGAGGCACTTTGACACTTTTATGAAATTCAGACAGGCACAGAGACAGCTGCTCCTCAGAGCTGCCCCCCTGCAGCAGCAGCAGCAGCAGACGCTGGAGTTTCATTAACTTTCCCTCCTCGTTGCATTTCAGTTATAAAATCTGAAATACGACTGGCAGGCTAAAATCTGTACTCTGGGTTTTTTGTTTGGTTTTAAATCAGCTTTAAGGTCTTTGACAATTTCTAAAACATTTTTCATCTAACAAAGCTTTGGGGGCAAAAAAAGATACATTGATTTTAGTTTTTGTTTTCCTTGAGTTTTTAAAACTTTTAGTGCCTTTTATTTCTTTCCATGCTCTGCTCTGTCATGTTCAGGCACTTGTCCAGCAGTTATGAATGTTGGGAGTCAAATGCCTGTAGCAGAACATGTTCTGACAATCTAAACTTAAGAGTTTTGGCAGTCCACATAACTGCATTACAGATGTAAAGTTATTTAAAGCTTACAAAAAAGCATTAAACTATAAGGAAAAATGAAGGGAAAGCAGCAGAATCTGAAGGAAAAAGAAGAAAAAATAGGCAATTTAGGCTGTTATTTATTTTGAAAGGGTGAAGTGAGCTTTATTAACTATATTAAGTTATATTTTAAAAGGTAAATGGTTCCAGCACAGTAAATTATTGAACTCAATGGGACAGATTTATTGCAAGTAATAAATCTGAAGTGTATGTCCTATATATATTTATAGTCAATCACGTTTACTGAAACCAACTGGCTTGCTGGGTTAGTTCACTAAGAAATATGGAGTTTAATTAAGGAATGCAATGCAACTGAAAATATAAATAGGCAAGGAAAACATGTTTTGATATGTTAAGAAAGCCTGGGGGAAAAGGGATCAGACATTTAATGGATTTGGATTCTTGAAAATGTTGTGGCATTTTTTTCATGTGGGTTGTCAGACATTTACCAGGGAAGGGCTCAAACACTTGGGCTGCATCTTCTGGTGATTTTGATGGTGAATTAACCATAATTTTCTTGGAGAATACTTTGCCTCTCATACAGCAAGTGGCTGTTGTGACCATTTTCTAATTGGACAGGGTGTGATGAATTTCAGATGGTTAAATTAGGAAAAACTACTCCAAAACTAGAATTTAATAACAACACAAAACTATTCCTACACGTGGAAACGTGCTGTGTGTTTAAGTTCTCTCCTGCTTTCCTCCATGGAAATATAAACTGTTGAGTTTTCATTAGTAACAGCCTAAAGAAATATTAATTCTGTGTCTGGATCTCCTTCCTGATGTTCATGTTTAAACTCTTTTCCCAGCCTGTGTGCTTGCAGCTCTGTATATTACAGAACTGACAGAACACAATGAGCCCTGCCTGTGGGATAAATGTTTCATACAGAACTTGAGTAGAACTTGGAGCCTGAATTCAGGGCTGTAATTTGGAGATAGCCATTAACAAATCCCCTTCAGAGAAACATCATCTGTTACCAAGGGATGGTGCTCCATTTATTTAGTATTTAGCTTGCTGTGGTATGACCCTTCCTTCCAGTTTATATAAATAACTGGAGGAAGAATACAAAGGCAATATCATCCCCTCCAAGCTTATCTGTTTCCTTGCACTACACACAGACACTCTCAAACCAAAAAAATGCATTTCCCCTCCTGCCTGTTCTTTAAATGACTGACACCAGTTTGGCAGCATTCCCACTACAGAACAGCGCCTGTCTTCTCTATACAATTGTAAAGGTAAAAATCTCTCTTTCCTGATGACTTTTTAATTTCAGACTGAGACAGGGACAAGATTGTGATGTAAAACTCCCAGTGCAGGTTTGTATTTCCCCCGAAGTGCTGCTTCCAGAGGAGCCCTTTTCCCATCCCACCCATGTGCAGCCTTATCTGGGAACACAGGAGTTAACCTCTCCTTGTGCCACTCTTTGGGAAGCAGCCTTTGAGGGCTTTCAGGGCCATTGTCTCTCCAGCAGGACTTGCTGAGCTCACTCTGCTTTAGTAGGGACTTGAGGGAGCCCTTGGAGCCCTGCAAATATCCACACAAAGGATATTTTGTCCATTTTGTCACCTGCATGCTCAAAGATTCCTCTTAAAATACTCTCAGGTCACAGTGCTGTGCCACAGTACACAGCTTTTGTAACATTTAAAATCACTGGCAGTAGGATCAAACCTGTTACAATGCACTGGACCATTAATTTCTGTGGGGTTTGACCACTCTTTATTTTGATTCTCTTCTACTAGAAAAGAATTTCTAAAATAATCCCCTGAATAAATCATTTTTCAGTTGTGGAGGGATGGTCTAGATATCAGCTTAGATCTGCTTTACACCTAGTGTCCCAATTCTGTGGCTCCCAAGCAGTTTTGATTATCAGGTTTTTAAATCTGAAATACAGCATGTCACACTTCCTAATGAGCTAACAGGAAAGGACATTCTGGGTACTCATTTTTTAAAGGAATCAGTAAAAGTGAACACATTCAACATCAAAAGGCACCAAATTCTTTTTAGCATTACGAACCTAAATATGACTTGTGTATGACACACAGCAGGCAAAATTCACCATAACTGAGAGCAATGCAATTTAATTGGCTGAAATTTTAAATTTTTTAACAAATCCTCACAGTATGGGGACTTCTATTCTGTGATACTTTGATTTAAGGGTTGCTCCTGACCTCTGCAAACTCAGAGGAAAATCATGAAACCTCTCTGGCTCATTTGTGGCTCAGAGGTGAGAACAGGTCCAGGCAAACAGCACAGCCCTCTCCTGCCTGGGGTGAGTGATTCTATCTTGCCATACAAACTTCTTGCTTGATATTTGAGATAAAAGTAATGTCCTTGGACTCTTCCCATTTCTGCACAACTGCCTGGGTGAGCTGCAAGGTGTCAGGTGAGTCAGGCCGCTGTAACTTCAACCATCTCAAATTCTTTGTGATAAATGTGAGATTTAGGTCAGGTTAACAGGAATCATCCCAGGCTTTGATTCTGTTTGCCAACACCCTGGGCTGACTCTTCTTGAGGTTCAAAGCTTCAATTCCCTGCAAGTGCCTGCATGTGAAGGGCTGGAGGGAGGAGGATGGAGGAGCAGGAGAGGGAGGGTGGGACCTGAATTTCCTGTAGCCCAGTGAGTGCTGCTTCCCCGCTCCGTGGAATTGGCACATGAAATAAGAACATCATTGGTGTGAAGTGATATTTGTACAAACCTATACATTTTGCAGCTGTGAGGGTTAAAATGGGAGGCACAGGGGGTGGGTGAGGGCTGGGGACGGCTCTGCAGCCCCACCTCCAATTGCAATTCCTGGTGACTCCAGATTTGCCTCCCTTGCTGATTCTGCTTTTTGCTGCACCTCAGCCCCATCGCTTTGCTCTCCCAGACACATGAAAAGCCAATTCCTCCTTTAAAAAGCGCCGAGAGCAGGAAAATCCCGTTGTTGTGGTGCTGGGAAGAGTTGTTTACTCTGTGGCAGAGCATGAAAGGGGAGGGATTCCCGCACTGCCAGGAGAGGTCACTGCGAGCCTCCAGAAATAAACAGGAGATGCTCCAACACTTAAAACTTGAAACGGGCTCCAGGCCAGGGATGTTCCTCGAGGATTGCTCTGGTACAGGCAAAAGAACTGGATTTGTGCATCAAGGAATATTGCAGGGATTTTACTTCTGCAGTCTTCGAGTTCATCTCCATGTGGGAGAAAAATAAATATAATTTAATTAATGTCTGACTGATGTGACCTGCGTTGGTGGCTGCAGCAACACGTGTGGGAACACATGTCCTCAGTTATCATCACTATAAATGTTTTCAGCAAAGCTGGGAGAGCCGTGCAGGACTCCAGGGTCACTCCTCTTTAGTCACTCTTTGCTCAGGGAGGGTGACATTCCCAGGGCTGGCACCCTCCACGTGCTCCTGGAGGGAGCTGCCCTGCAGAACAACCCCGGCTCAGGGCACCAGGGCCTCCCAGAGGAGCAAAGTCACAAAGTCTGCCAAGCACAGATCAAAGGCAAACGAAAGCACACAGCTCTGTCTTCTTCCCTTTTTTATCACTTTTTTCTCCTGCTGCTAATTAGGGCTGATAAGGAGCCAAGGTGCAGTTATGTAACAGCAACCTTTGTGACAGCTCAGATTGAAAGCAGGTAATAAACTTATTTCTGAGCTCACTGCTGTCATCATTCATTCACCTGAACTGGGGATCTGAGCAGAGAAGTGATGGAGGCTGAGGTGGGCAGAATCCTTCACTATTGGGGTCATTTTCTCCTGGATATCTTCCCTGGTGTCCGAGCGTATTTCCCACCCCAAGAGCTCTCTCTGCAGCTCTTTACACTCTTTATAGTGCTCACAGTGCCTTCAATTATTTTTTCCTTGATTTGTAGCAAAGCAAAGAATGTACACTCTCCCACAATTTTTTATGGTGTAATGAAATAATCTGAAACTGTTCTGCTTGTATGTGCCAACTATGCCCCTGTGAATTCCACTCTGTAGCCGTGGACTCCATCACTCCAGAGATTTCCCAGGACAGCTGACAAGCTGTAATTCCTTTTTCAGAAAGAAATAGTTCTGACCTCAGCTGGAGCCCCTGAAAATTCACAAGTAATTTTGCATATTTGAGTCTCAAACTACTGAAAATTCAACCAAAGTGTTTCAAATAATGTGATTTTTTTCCCCTGTGGTGTGCAGGAGAAGGAGTTTAAGTCTGGATGGACAACAATCCTGGCTGACACAAATCTTGGATATCAACACTATAGTCCTTGACCACCCCTTAGTAAAGAAAGCACTAAAAATGTGCAGAAATAAAGAGTTTTACAAACATAGTGAGAGTTTAAGCCTCAGGTATGAAAAAATCAGTCCCATGAGATAATGCAGTTAAATCAACATCCTTTACTGTGTTCCCATTTATGGGTGAGGTGTAAAGTCCAGAAGGGCTCAGGTTACTTTTCCATATTTCCATCTGGTATTTACCATGCTCTATACAAGGGGAGGATTGGCTGTGGCCTTCCCTTGGATTTCTCTGTGGCCACCAGGGCTGTTTCCATCTCCAGAATCTCTTTTGGGACATTTGGAAGGTTTTGGACTCCAGAGGCATTCAGGTTTTATAGTCCTGCAGGTAAAAGAGAACCTCCTGTTCTTTGCCCTGGTGTTTTTCTCTGGAACTTGAAAATGTTTCAATCTTTGTGGATGGTTAATTTAACAGCAGCAAAGCACTTGCTCTTGTAAGAATTCACATTAATGATGCACTGCTTGCTGTACGACAAAAAGAGAGACTATTTGGGTAGAGACAAAATGTAAACTTGAAGAACCAAATATTTCTGAAAGTTATAAGCAATATTTTCAAGTGAATTTTATCTCAAAACCATCCTACTGTTTGCTCTGCAGCTCAATAACTTTCCTTCTCTTTCTGCTTGCACTGAGAAATGTTTAGAAAAGGTTTAGCAAACTGTCTTTGCAAAAGATGGAAAGCTGGGGAAAACTTGAGTTTTAATAGCTCTGATAATCAGCAAATTCTAGAAATAAGCAAGTGATATCCCTTCTCTGCTTTAGTTTTTTCCTGCAGTTTTAAGTGAAATAAAGCTTATTTTTCTGCAAGGATGTGACAATGACATTTACTACCATGATGAAATGTTTTGAAAGGGAAAAATTAGATGTAATAATTTAATCTTGGCACGGTGTAGCTTGTGTGACTCTTTGCTAGCAATAAAGCAGGGTTACTGCCCTGGAGCATTTACAGCACAGGGGATCAGCTCCTGTTCCAAGGTTTTCTTGGGTAAAGGCAGCTGGGTGTTTACCTGAACAAATCAGCAGAAAACAAAACATGACCTGCCCCCAGAATCACAACTCCTTCTCTGTTATCTTTGTTCTGCAGGAAAAGTTAATTGTGTTATACTTTATTTCAGGATGGTTTATTTCCCTTGGATTCTGTTTTTAGCACACCAGAAGAGGGCAGAGAAGCCAGGGATCCTCCCAGTGCCGGGGTTTTTTTGCTGGCAGTGGGCAGGAGCACAGGAGCAGTGCCCACCACCTTTCCCAGGGCTGGGACCACAGTGTCAGCAGATCCAAACTGAATGAAAGATGCTTTTATTTGCCCAGGGAGTCAGATAAAATCAGGGACAAGTTTTGTCCTTTAGACTCACAGGTTAGTTCTTAATGAGAAGAATCAAATTGAAGTTTATGACTTCTTTTTTTTTTCTTATTGGTGTTGACTGAGCCTCAAAAGTTAGTTGATGCAAAACCACTGAGATTTAAATACTTTTTTAAAGTTTCATTTAAGCCTTCCACATCTGCTGCTAAACAAAGCAGACACTGGGATTTCTCAAGAAAGGTGGTTATGAAATGTAATTTTTATGTCCATAGTTATCTCATATTTGTTTAATGAATTCTTTTCCCTTCGTGCCGGGTGAATCTAGAAATTGCCACGAGATGAGTGGATGAGTTGCAGGATGAACTTAGGAAAATGACAATACAAGTCCCACTAAGCTCTGCCCTCAGTTTGCAAAGTGGGAGTCCAGCAGTGTTCAGAGGAGAAGGTGATACCAGAAGACAGCAGGACTGTGACCGGGTGTGAGGTGTCCAGCAATGCACAAAGTCCAGGAGATCCTCCTGAGAGGGTGTGATCCAGGTACACCAGGTTCTGCTGTCAAAGAGGATGATTTCTTCCTGCCTTTCTCTGGAGAAAATCCCAGATTATCTCCTCTGTGATCCACACTGCATGCTGTAATGGTTAATTACCTCTGTATTTCAATCACAGAATCTGCTGGCTGTAACTTGAAAATTACCAGCACCAGTGAAGCTTGTAATGGACTTTCAACTCTTTCTCATTTCTTAGATGGTGCTCGTGCCTTCAGTCTGATGGATTTAAGCATGGAAGAGGAATTCTAAAAGTGCTGGGAATAAAAGTGTGGGAAGACAAACCCCAAAGGAACCCTGTGGTGCTGCCTGTCTGGAACTGACCAGAACAAATCTCAGCAAAAATGGAAAAAAAGACCACAAGCAATGAGACAGAGCCCCTGACTTCCAAGAAAGACGCCTCAGACTGTAGCAAAGGAGAAGATTGTAAAGAGAACAGACTTGTGGTCAGGAACCCTAAATCTGCCCTGCGGCTGGTGGAGGATGGCAACAAAGTCCACCCGAGCCAGGGGGATAAAGGGGAGGCAGCTCAGATCTCCAATGGTTATTCAGGGGTTCAGAGCTCAGCTCCCTGCAATGGAGAGGTGGAGGATGCCCAGGGCACGGCCCCAGCAGCCACCACCACCACCACCACCACCACGTCCACCACCTGCGGGGCCGAGGCTCAGCAGCAGCTGATGGAGCTGGAGGACAGGGAGACCTGGAGTAAAAAAATTGACTTTCTCCTCTCTGTCATTGGATACGCAGTGGATCTGGGAAATGTCTGGAGATTTCCTTATATCTGCTATCAGAATGGAGGAGGTCAGTGTCCACTCATGTTCATTGTTCCTTAGTGCTGAATTTCTTGGTTTATAAATGGATGATTTAGTGGCTTTTAAAATATCGTGTGTAACAAATGATCGAGGAGAAATTATTCACTGAAAAACCTAAATATTGGGATAGGATAATCACAGAAAAGCTGTTTAGCACAACACAACCAGAAGCTGGGAACCAGGTAGGTGCAGACCCACACTCCAACACCTCAATCCCTTTCCCAAGGAGCATTTTAAAATCTGATAAACCAACATGTCTAAACCAACTCATGAGGAAGGCTGGGTCTTTGACTCACTGACATAAGAGACAAAATACAAATCTAAAATCTAATCAAGGAGATCTCAGAAAGGACTTTCATCTCTCTGATGTAACAAAGGCATTTTATTGGAGAAATTAATAATTTTATCTATAGGCCATCTCACTGCTGTGAGAGTCAGTGGAGTCTTGGTGAATCCTGTGTTGCAGAAATGTGAGAAGTTTGGGCTGGGTGTTGCTTCTTGTTCACACTGCTGAGGAGCTACTCTTATGAGAAATCCCACAGTAATTCAGTGGTGTGCTGGCTAGGGAGGGGATATGCATTTTCCCTGTGAGATAAAAGGAGCTCCTGTTTATGGAGTGCTGGTAATATTGGAGGAGAAGTCTCTGAAGAGTTACAATCATCTGCTTTCTCTCTTGCAGGAGCATTCCTCATTCCTTACACAATCATGGCCCTCTTTGGAGGGATTCCTCTCTTCTATATGGAATTAGCACTAGGACAGTACCACAGGAATGGCTGTATTTCCATTTGGAGAAAAATTTGTCCTATATTCAAAGGTAATAAAGGGAAATGGAACTTTCTGAATAACTGGAAAATCTTCCTATAAAGGTGGCATTTCGGGGAGGGGGGGAAGAAAATCTCATAAAGCCAAGTAAGACTTGTTCTACACAAGATTTTGGCTTTACAAAGAAAGCTTTCCTAAAACTCCAGGTAAACCTGCACATGTGTGTGTACTCTTGGATACACATACACTTTGCAACTCAAATTGATTAGAGAGAGGCTGACCAAGCCTAAAATTATAAAGAATAAAAGGAACTGTTCTATATCCTCACTTACTTTGGTTCCCAGTGCTGAAGCTCTGATCCTGTCTTTTTATTTACTGAGACTACAAGATGCCTATTTCTAAATTGTAGAAATTTAGGAACAAATAGAAAATACCTCTTTATAAGAATGTTCTGTCTTGATTAAGGATGCTTTGCTGGAATCAGAGTATTTCTGAAATCACAAGAAATGCCAGTGTTGTAAACACTTGGGAGGGTGTGTGTTCCTCCTGCAGAGCTGCCTTAGACAAACAGTTGTTGATGTGATAACCAATTCCTTTTCTCTTTTTTTTTTTTTTTGCCTAAAACTTAGACTGACTGAATGCAATTATTTCCTGTCTCTCCAGGAATTGGCTTTGCCATCTGTATCATAGATCTTTACGTAGCCTCCTACTACAACACCATCATGGCTTGGGCTTTTTACTACCTCATCTCCTCCTTCACGGCGGAGCTGCCCTGGACCAGCTGCACAAACCCCTGGAACACAGGAAACTGCACCAACTACTTCAGCAAGGACAATGTCAGCTGGTCCCTGCACTCCATCTCTCCTGCAGAAGAATTTTATACGTAAGTGCATGTAAGTGAGGATGGTGGTGGTAGCCAGACTGCTGGAACACCAGCAGGGTTTTCCTCAGAGGGCAACAGGGCTGATTGGTGATGGCAGCCTCTTCAAATCACTGGATTTTTGTGGGGGGTGTAAGCTTAGGGTGCATGGGGTGTGCTCTGTCTTTTAGGAGTTTCCCAGTTGCTGTCTGCTGTCACTTATCATCACTGCTGTGCTGTTAATATCAAACTTTTAAGTAAAATAAAATTAATCCGAAATGTCATGACTTTGAAGGCTGCTTATCAAGAACTCAAGATTCCTTGTAATGCTCAGCCCACAGTGTGGGACTGTTAAATGCACATTTAATGCAAGCATTTGTTTAAAAAGTATCTCTGCTGTGTTCTTCTTTGCTCTTGCAGCCGCCAGGTTCTGCAGGTGCACAGGTCCAATGGGCTGGAGGACCTGGGGGGCATTAGCTGGCAGCTGACCCTCTGCCTGCTGCTCATCTTCACCATTGTGTACTTCAGCATCTGGAAAGGGGTCAAAACATCTGGCAAGGTGAATGCAAAAGCTCGACACAGCAGCTTGTCTACAGGCAGTTCTACCTGAGCCAATTAATTGTCAGGGGATCAGCTCAGGTTGTTTTCATGACAGGGATTATGGGCAGATGTATTTGGGGAGTACTTGCTGTACAGTGACTGCTACTCTAAGCAATAAAGAAGAAAAATAAGTGACACCACTGTTCTCTGGGCAGGACCAACCCTGCCAGGGAAAGGGTTCAGATGTGCAAATGCCTCTTTACAGACTTGCAGAGAAGCTCACATGAATATGCTATAAATGCTTAGACATATAATGTGATTAACTAATTTTTATTATCCCTGCTAACTTTCTCCCCATGGCAAATGCTCTCACCATGTTCCCCCACAGGTGGTTTGGGTGACTGCCACATTCCCTTACATCATCCTCTTCATCCTGCTCGTGAGAGGTGCAACTTTGCCTGGGGCTTGGAGAGGTGTCCTCTACTACCTGAAACCTGACTGGCAGAAACTCCTGGCCACTGAGGTAAAGAACTTTATAAAAGGGAGATTTGCTTTCAGCCTATCTGTGTGTGTATCACCATAAATGCATAGAGCATGACTGAACAGATGTCTTAGCATGGACTTAAAAGCCTGAGCCCATGCTCTTTCCATAATTATAAAGAATTTTAAAGACTAGAGTCCTCCCTCAATTTAGCTTGAACTACAGGCAGAGCTCCCATACAGAATGAGTGATCTGATTAGAAGAAAACAAGTGACCAAACACTTTTTCACCAGGAAAATGGTGACCAGGCTGACACTGAGTGAGAAGCTGTGAGTGCTCCTACACTGCAACAAAATCCTTCCCCTCTGAGAGTCACACTGAGTCACATTTTAAAAAGAAAACTTTTTAAACCCTAACAAGTGGTGAAGTTGCAGTTTTTTGGCTTAAGGAGATGAGTACAGCCCTAGAGTCCACAGCTGCCCCTATTTAAATAGTGCAGGCTACTGGAGCAGAAACTTCTGTCTCCATCCTGTAACAAGCTTTGGCAGATGAGCCCATGGACACCAAATAAACCCTGGCTCAGTAGCTCATGTAAGTGCCTGTGGAGGAGGAATAAATCAGTCAGGCCTGCATACACCACCAAAATCTGACAGGAAAGCAGGAATGAGGACAAACTGAGCTAGCCAACAAACCCCAGGCCCTCCAGTGTCTGATCCAGCCTTGAACTGTGTGGCTGACAAGCAATCCATCAGGCTCAAGGCTGTGCTCACTCCACTCACTGCCTGTGAAAGTGTCTGGTGAGGAGGGTGATGGAAAAACCCCAATGCAATAAATGCTACAAACACAAAGATTAAAAATTTCCAATGTTTGCAAGTCTGCTGCTGCCCAGCTGATATAGAGAGTTTTGAATGAAGAGGAAATGAAAAGACACCAGTCTCTGATAAAGCAGCATCTCCAATAAGGAACCACATCTTCTGAAAAAGCAATAAAGGGCATTGATATTGTATTGGATGTATCTGGAGTGAGGACAGCAGATTGCAATCTGTGTGCTGGGTGATGACAGAGCTCTGTCTGGGTGATACAGGATGGCCTCACATGATGGGAGAGAATATTAGAAATGAGATGTAATGAACTCCATGTTTCAATCAAAAGAGAATAAATGAATGAGGACTTTCACCTTCAGAAAGAGAGCTGATATTGTACTTTAGAACATTACTCATTAGGGCTGTGGCCAGTTTTCAAGTACAACAAGCTTTTCATAACAAGATCATCACACTTGCATCTGTCACAGCTACAACAAAGCTGAATTGAGCCCCAAGAACCAGAACTGCATCCACACAGTCAAATGGATTTCCATAAATCCATGGAAAGTCTACATAGGCTGGAGGACACATTGCCAAGCCCTGGGCTATTCCACAGCACACAGAGTTTGGTGGAAGATTTGGAAGACTTCAAAATCATGGGTATAAAGTTCTCTATACACTGCAAAACTTGTGTTAAATTGATTACAGGCAATTGAGTGAATTAGTCTAAGATGCTGGCAGAAGTGCAACAGCCACAAGAGCACTACAACAAACATTCATATTTCAACAGCTCTCACAACAGAATGTCTGTGAGACCAGGACTAGGACATAGGCAGACCAGTGAAACACCCTTTTGTAGACCTAAGTGATATTCTAAATATACCAAACTCATTCAATCTGTTTCATGGCATTTTTTTCTTTGGCCTTCAATATTTTTCAGGTTTGGGTGGATGCAGCAGCTCAGATTTTTTTCTCCCTGGGACCAGGATTTGGGGTCCTGTTGGCTTATTCCAGCTACAACAAATTCCACAACAACTGCTACCAGTGAGTTCTACCTTATTCTATAAGTAAAATCGAGTAAAAAAAATATAACTGTGGGTATTTATGAAAAAGAAACAGGGTGTTGGTGAAAGCCACTAAATTGTCAGACCTGTGTACATAGAAATCAGAAGTAACAGAGAACCTGCAATCTCAAGAATTTCTCCTCTGTTGCCTACCTTAAAGTAAGATAATTTTTTACTAATTTTACAGCAAGAGGTCTAAAATGTAGAAACCTGCCACAACAAAATGGACTAAACCCCTGCCAAACCATCACATTGTAGTTATTTAATCTCAGTAGTCAGTTAAAAAATAACTTCATAGTCTCAAGCAGACAGGCAATTTATGTTTTTTCCTTGTTACCTGAAAAAAAATCTATTTCTAACTTCTAAAATAAAATTCTCGATTCTTTAATATTCACGCAGTAATTTCTAGTCTTTTAAAACAGCAGGATAGAGCCAGCATTCAATCCAGTGGCAGACTGATGTTACAGCACCTGTATGGATTTGAGAAGAAAAAGTAGTCATGGGTTGTTGGGTTTTTTTCCTCTTTCTTTCAAATCTGCTGCTCGTTTTTTCCTTGTATTCCCCTAGTTTTTCCAGGAGTTTGTCTAGATTGTAAACCAAGAGGTTGTAAACCCCTTCTAGCAGGTGCAGATGAGTCAGGTCCCTGATGAGAGTTAGGTCTTCTGTTGCAGAGATGCTCTGGTCACCAGCACCGTGAACTGCCTGACCAGCTTTGTGTCTGGGTTTGTCATCTTCACCGTGCTGGGGTACATGGCTGAGATGAGGAATGAAGATGTCTCAGAGGTTGCCAAAGACACAGGTGGGTTAATGTTTCATACACATCTCCAACTGCTTCTCAGATAGAATATATTTGTATATGTACTTCTAGATTGAGAGCAGCCCAAGTGATGAGAAATATTTAATATATTATTCAGGATGCTGACTTTATTGGGCACTGTTACAGCTAAAAAAATTAACCTATAAATACCACATATAAAAGCCAGATTTCAGCTTTGCAGTTTCACAGACCTGGCAAAGCAGCCTGGGGGGAGAAGCTTTCCCCTGAGAGACACCATGTCCTAACAGTGATCCCATCTCTCTGCTCCAGGACCCAGCCTGCTCTTCATCACCTACGCAGAGGCCATTGCAAACATGCCAGCTTCCACCTTCTTTGCCATCATCTTCTTCCTCATGCTGCTCACGCTGGGCTTGGACAGCACGGTGAGCAGCCAGCAGGGGACACAGCCTGGCCCCCTCAGGCACCACAGAAACAGAATTACAAACACTGCACTGAGGGGTTTGCAGCAGGACTGGCAGTGCCAGCTGCCTTCTGTAAGACAGCAACTGTTACTCCAGTTTTTAACTGAATAGGTTTGAACATAATCAATTAATTGTCACTGTCATGCTGTGACAATTAACAAGACCCTGAAATGCAAGCAAAGCACTTTAATTTATACACTCCTGGTTGAATGCAGCCTCCCAGGCTCCTTTCTTCCTTGTAAACTTACAAAGCAATTATGAAAGTCTGGAATTTTTTCACATAATTTGGATTTAAAAGGTGGGAACTGGAGATACACTAAAAAATTGTCAAGTGAGTCTGGTTTTACAGGTGGAGAATCAGCTTCTTCCAGCAGGGCTGAACTCAGCTGATTTCACAGTCTTGGTCCTACTGAACCACCTCTCATTTCTGCACATCCTGCTGCCTGCAGCACAGGACTGCCTTTGGATGACAGAGCATCCCCACAGACACCTGAACACTAAATCCCCACCCTAAAGAGTTGTAAAAAGTTAGGAGGAAAGACTTGTCTAAAAACCCCACACCAACTCTAGAGCACAACAAAGCACCAATGTTTCAATGCTCCTTTAAGCACTCAGACTTTTGAGCAGGTAACACTGCCCTCTATTTTCCAGTGATTTTTCCATGCTTTTCAGTTTGCAGGACTAGAGGGAGTGATTACTGGAGTCCTGGATGAATTCCCACATGTCTGGGGCAAACGCAGGGAATTGTTTGTCCTTGGTCTGACCATCGTTTGCTTTTTGGGGTCGCTGGCAACCCTGACATTTGTGAGTATTTCACCCACCCTCAGCCTCCCTCACTGGCAGCTTCCTGCCAATGACACCTTGGAGAGGGCAGTAATTTTTTTTGAAGAGAGTTTCAAGAAATCAGATTGATCCTCCAGGCTGTTTTCTCTATGCATTAGAAATCCATTACTTGGAATAAATGTGAATTGTATTTCACTAGGAAATATGTTGCAAAATGATCCTACTGCAACTCATTATGTGCTACACATCACAAATGGTGCTGCTCATCAGTCAGCAGACAACCAGCCACATTTTTATGAGGTTTATTTCTTATTCCCTAAAGCTCTGTGTTTAAAAATAACATGAATGGCTCTTCACAATGTGTAAAATGTATTTTGAATTAAAAAAAATCTAGTAATGAATTTCCTGAATCTTCCTCACTGTTTCAAGGCAGAAATCACCATTAGTCACATCCAATTGTTCCCATGGGGCTTGCGGATTTCATTCCCACAACAAGCAATTTTTGAATAATGAGTGTAATGACCACAAGGGAAATAGAAAGAAATACTTGGCTTTCCTGTTGTGTTTCACTCCACTTGCTCATTTATGTGTAACTTCCTTCTTATGTGAAGTGTTTGCTGTACAAGGATGCTGAGTTCCTCTGCAAGAAGTCTCCTCCTTCGTGGTTCTAGATCCCAAATGGAAAGAAAGCAAAGCAACACTTTATTTATTTGCTGTTCAGTGGCTATGATCCCTGGTGGAGTAAGAAGAGGGCATGCACAAAGCCATCCTGTAAAATCCCCTTTTTTCACTAAAATCCATCCACAAGTGCCAGCAGATTTTAGCTTCTCTTCATGGCAGCCCCCAGGTGAGGGGTGGCCACAGAGGGTGAGCAGCTCACCAGGGTTTCCCTGGCAGGAACAGCCACAAAGTGACAGAACTGGGTGAATTCCCCACTTGTGAACGTTCTGCTCCAGCAGCAGCAGGGCAGCATCCTGGGCACACTGACAGCTTGATCTCTTTTCCAGGGAGGAGCATATGTGGTGAAGCTGTTTGAGGAATATGCCACGGGTCCAGCTGTCCTGACCGTCGTGTTCCTGGAGGCAGTGGCTGTGTCCTGGTTCTATGGTACCTCCAAACACCCCAACCCAAACTCCTGAGCTCCTGCAGCTCAGCACTGCCTCAGTTTCTGCAGACAACATCACCCATGTCTCCAGAAAAAGTTTACAAAAGCTTTTTACAGACTCACTGATAACTAAAGCAGTGAGAATTAGTGTTAATTGCTCTCTGACAGCTAAAAGTAACAGGAGGTATAATTCAGAATAATTAAGGATTTAGTAAAATTAAGAGTTATAGGAACAAAATAGTCTTCTGGGATAGATTCTGAATTTACTTGCTGGGCATAAAAAAGTGTTGAGAATCTACTTAAGAAAATCTTAGATCTGCTGTCATCCCTCTCCTCCCATTGTGTCCACAGGCATCACCCAGTTTTGCAACGATGTGAAAGAAATGCTGGGCTCTGCCCCAGGCTGGTACTGGCGAGTTTGCTGGGTTGCAATTAGTCCACTTTTCCTTCTGGTGAGTTTTCTTTAGAGCTTTTTCTTTCCAGCACCATGAAAATCACCCCTGAACAATGCAGCTCATTCTAAAAGCTTAATTCCAGAATTCTCTCATGAAGTTCTTTAGTAACAATTTTTGTTAAACAAAAAAGGCTCAATTAGTAAAAAACCCAATACAATGCTGTAAGGTCTTGTTACCAAATCACAGTTTTAAGGATTTTTGTAGTTGAATTAGCTGAATAAGTCTGGACTCTGAATAACTCCCCCCACTGCCCTCTGCTAAACAAATTTACTTTGTTTTGTTGCCTTATGTTTACCTCAGCAAATAAAAACTGTAGCAATAAAAGCTGATGAAACATACTGTCAGAGGAGGAAAACCAAGATAAGTAAATACACTGTCTCGGCAACTGCTGATGGACAACTTTAGAATATTCCACTTTAAATTTCCAGCAGTTAATTGCAACCCTTATAAATCTATAATTCAGAATTGGAAATACTGTCCCAGTGTTTGGCTTGGCAGTGTTATTAATAACATTTGAACATAAAGTGTTCATTTCCTGATTCAAAATTAGTCCATGCTATCTTTTATTCTGACTGGCCTTAGTGGGAGCAGTGCAGGTCAAGATGGAGTTTATGAAGCACAGAACATAGATTTAAGACCTACAGAGTGAATTCAAAACACTTGTAATGATCAAGGCATAATTAAAAGACCTTGATTTTATTACACCTAGAAAGAGAAATCTACAAATTAAAATGTCACCACAGTAATTTTTATATTTCTGTCCCCTTTGTAATCCTAAACCAGCAAAATATAGAGGCACAGAGCTCTGGGGATGTGGTTACCAGGCAGAGCTATTTGTATTCCCTGTGGAAACCCACCTAAAATAAGGAAAGCTCAGGATGTAGGAAGTCATTTCTGTGTGGAAGTTTTGCTGGTAAATCCTGAGCTTCTGATGATACTCTGGAAAAAAAATAGTCAGAGATCCTTCCTGGGACAGTCACAAATATTTTTCCTGGAGTATTCAACTAAAAGTATTTGTTGTTTCCTAAGGAATTTTTCAGTCATGAATTATATGCTCAGGAAGATGATCCAACAGCAGTAACTGAGCTTTTTTCCTTTTCCTGTTCTGACAGAGAGCACTGTAGAGTGGACAGCATCTGCTTTGGGAAGGATCCTCTTGGTGTTTGTTTCATGATTTGTTGTTGATTTGTTTTAAATATACACTCATGTAACTTAGGATTCTTTTCCAGTGTCAACATATTTTTAATCTTGAGCCCTACTCATTTTCTCTTTATTCCAGTGCTGCACTGGAACACAGAAGTCCCCAAAGTGCATGCCATGAAAATCCATATATTCACACTTTCCCCTTTTTCTCTTTCAGTTCGTCACTTGCAGCTTTCTGTCCAGCCCTCCTGAGCTGAGGCTTTTTGATTATGATTATCCCTACTGGACCACAGTTGTGGGGTACTGCATAGGAACCTCCTCCATCATCTTCATTCCCATCTACATGATCTATCGCTTGGTCATCACCCCAGGGACACTCAAGGAGGTATCCCTGATGCTCTCTTGCTTCTCTTTGACTGTTTGGAAGGAGGTGATTCCTAAAAATATCATGAGTGGCTGTTCTGTTCCTGAATTCTCACAAATCTCCCCAGTTCTTACTGAGGCTGCTGAAAATTTCTTATAAAATGTTACATCAAGTAATTTTTTAAGCTCTGATGAACTGGAGAGTCTTCCTAAAATTCACCCCAGAGACACTCAAAATCCCCCAGTCAAGCAAATGAGGCAGTGAAAGGCTGGTTTCCTGGCGTGTATCTGTAAGAAAAGCTTGTTTTTCTCTCACACATTTAGTAAAATTTCTCTGCCATAAATCTGTAATGACAACACCGAGATTTCTTCTAAGTTTAAATAAATACCAGTTCATAAAGAATAAATTTAGTTGGCTCAGGGTATCCAAGTAAACTGCAAAGTCCTAAAGCATTAATATGACATCTGCCAAGCTTTGATTCCAATTATGTTACAAATAATTTTTAAAATCCTGCTGTGTACTTCTATAGCACTTTCCATCCTCATAGTGCTAACAGAAGCCTGCAACACTCTTAAGTGGCTCAAGAGGTGTAACTCAAAGTCATACTTTATTATTACTCTCTTTCTAAATGGCTGACATGATTTGTATTGCCTCTAAAATCAATCCATTTCTGATTTCTTTCCCTCAGCGTATTCTGAAAAGCATTACTCCAGAAACAGCCACAGAAATTCCCTTTGGAGACATCCGCATGAACGCAGTATAAGCTGACCTGGGTCTGGGGGAGGAAGAGGAGCACAAAATGTCACTTTCCCCCCTCTCCCACCCAAAGAACCTCCTTTCCAGCTGAGACAACAAACAGAGTTTTCCAGGGAGGCTGCACCACTGGCACCATTGGGAAAGGTGATGCCTCCAGCACATTGATCCAAGCAATTCAAGGACATCCACTGAACTGAGCACTCACTGAGGAACACGAGGGAACACCCCTGCTCCGGGAGTGGCACCGAGTGCCTGCAGCAGCCCCTCCAGGACGAGCAAGGCACGGCAGGATTAGGTGTAGACCCCCAGTGTGTGGCAGTGCTCCTGTAGCTCCTCCCTCCGTGTGATCGTTCGTAACGGGCAATGTCGTATTCGCTTCTAAGGTTCTCTACTTGCTTCAACTACGTGGGAAAATGCACAAATATTTCTGATAGCCATACATTACTCGAGTAACGCAGGGGTTTATACACTAGGAAAACAAAAAGAGGAAGCTCCCTAGGTTTGTGGTGGAGTAGACAGAGGGAGAGGAAAAATGCTGAGCAGCACAGCTCTGCACACATCAGCACACACAGCTGGTAGCACCGGCCTCACGTTCATTTCCTCTGGTTTGTAGGTGGTAACAATTTCTACTGTTTCTTGCATAAAAAAATTACAAAAATAATTTTCTGTGATGTTTGAGGCTTCACTATCCTTTAGACCCAATCAAGCCACAAAAACTCATCATGAGTTACTTGACAAGCCACTTAAGCTGCCAGCATTTACTGTACTGTTTCCATAACCAATCATTGTGCTGGCAGAGCTACAGAAACTAAAGACCAACAATGAATCTTTTTGAGTTCTGATGCCAAAACGTACAATCTTAAAGATCACTTTCTCTGCTTCACTTCCCTTTTTTTTTTTTTTCAGTTAATTTCACACCTAAAATTTGCTGGAGCCAGCCTGTGGGGTTTTCCTCCTCTTTCCTAGTACAGAAGTAACATTTAGAATAATCCTTTTGGCTGGCTGACAAAAGTACATTTACAACTATCCAAACCTACTCTAAAGGTTTAGTAGCTCATATTCTGATGTGACTGCATTGGGTTTTCAAGCTGAAGAAGAGAGGAATTTTTTTTTTCTTAGCAAGAAGCTGAGTAGAGTTCAGCAGGATTGATTCTCATCAGAACACTTTATATTAAATTTCAAGGCACTGACACACAAATTACCCCCATGTCCATACAAAGCTCTTTACATGACAGGCACACAGGTGCTCCCCAAGTGCAGCTGCCCTGGCCCCTGCAGGACATGAGTTGTGCTGCAGTGGGAGTGCAGGCAAACCCAGGAGGGCATCGTTCCTGTACAAACTTGCATTGTATTTTTACTCTGGCACACAGCTTATGATGAAAGTAAAATAAAATAGAGGATAAAAGTCTCTTTTGTATCCCTTATAAAGTTGCCAAGGTTCCCTGTGCAGCCAGAGCAGGGGCATTAAGGAACCTGTGGGAGCTGACCTGGGCATGAAGCATTGCCAGGTGAGAGGGAAGCAGAAATGCTGTGTTTGCCTTCTGGAAACATTTCCATCACCTCTGCCAAAGCTTTCCCCCCTCTGTGTACCTGGAGAAGGGCCTCTTCCACTTCCTCTTCCACTCTGGATAAGGACTTTTGAGTTCATCTAAATCTCAATCCCAACCTCCAATGAGGAAATAACTGAAGAGGGACAAGGACTGTTCTTTCAGCACTAGACTCCTGAAGTATTTTAAAAAGGGAATATGCTCTTTAATTGCCACTAGGAAAACAATAAATCTGTCTTCCTGGACAGTTACCCATGTGAAAGTTTTGTAGCTTATGCCTCAAGTGTATTTGAAACCCACTTCCAAAAGTTAAATTTTCTGAGTTCATTAACTGAAAAAACACACATGAAATGTCAATGTAAGGTGAATGAGGTATTTGCACATATCCAACAGCAAAGTGTGGGAAATAGAGGAGAAAACCCTACCCTGTTTCTTTCCTCTTCAGACAGGGTGCAGCTAACAAAAAACTTAGTAACTTTAAGACACAGGATAGACACTGGCTCTCTGGGAGGTTTCAGAGAGATTTCCCAAGAAATGTCCCATTTTCCAGTGAATTAAGTCAGCCAGGAAGCCCTGACAGTAACACAAGCCCTGAAATGTGAGACCAATGTGCTCTGAGTCCTGAGATACTGAGAGAGGATGAAAACTCTTAGAACTATTTGAAGATACAAAAATCAATGTAGATTGAAAAGGCTTTTCTCTTTCTGAATAATACAAAGATAAAATACATCCATGTTTTCATTCTATAAATGCTGAACTTGAAAGGCAGTTTAGTCCTCATTACTTTTTTGTTACATGGTGTACTGGTTCAATATCTTGGCAAGTTATGGTAAGTTCCTTTTTTAGTATTTCTATTTAGCTGAGTGGTTGAAATATTGAGAATTGATTTATTTATACAATTCTTTTTTTTTAACATACCCACCTGAAAACATGTAAAGCAACCAATATTTATCAGGTAGCTCAGCAAGTAGCCATACCTTAAACACTGGTTTTGTACAAAAACTACTTAAATTTGCACTGCAGTTGCAAAGTGTTTTGAGGCAAAAAAATTCCTTCTCTTCAGCTCACTTTCCACCCATCTAGCACAAGTATATCCTACCCTCTGTTCTGAACAGTGAAAAGAAAGTCATGAAACTGGTAAATTAGGACCATCTTTGCCTTTTAAAGAGAATTAAACTGGAGTTTTAGCTGTACAGAACTAAGTATTCCCTCCAACTTGTACATGATGCACCTGTATTAATTTATGCAGCTGTTTAGTTACAAGTGTTGCAAGCTGATTGTAAGTCATCAGTATGTGCCTTGTACTGTAAACTGTTACTGTAATAAATTTAATATTCATAAACCATCTGCAGACGTCTCTTGTGCCTCTCTCTTCTGGGAAGAGCAAAGATAAAAATCTCAATTCTCAGTAACAGCAGAATATCTAGTCCAGCCAGGCCTCTGACAAAAAGCAGAGGATTTCCCTCAGTGTTTGACCCCTGGCCCACTGCTAAACACTTTCATTGCATTCCAACAGAAGAACCAAAGCTCATTACAGTTGTTTACACAGAACAGCAAAACCAAACTGCTCCACACTGGAGTATGTGCTTAGCTACTTGATTAGCTGACATATAAAACTCATTCCAAGCCTTTATAAAGTGGCAGCATTTGCATTTAAATTTACTCACACTTTGTATCATTGCTCAGTCTGCTGAAAAAATCATTAGGGAAACATCAATCTCAAAATCTTTTTTTTTTTATATAGAAGTACACCTTATTCTAAGATAAAAGTGATAAACTTGCAACAAAAAAAGTGAAAGGAACAATTAAAAAGGTGTTGAAAATGTATTCTAAAAGCTATGACCACTGTCAGACATCCTACTTACCTAGTTGGAAGATAATTTTATTCTTGAATAGGAACCTTTGAACAGAAGGTTCATATGACAAATCTAAAATATCACTTAACAAGTTGATACAACTGTAATACATGAAAACAGATTCATCAACCTTATTCCATGCAAAAAAATGCAGTAAAATAACCTACACACAAAAAAAGACCCATACATTTGAGCCAATATGTATCTTACACTTTATTAACTGTTTCTGTACATCAGGTCCCCAGACCAAAACCCACACATAATACAAAATTCATACCTCAATATGCATGTATCTTACAGAACTCCACTCTACATACAGAAATCTCCTAGGTCATTATTCAGGCTGGTTTTCTTGCTTTTTCACCCACTTTTACAGGTTTGCTCCCCATTTCTGAGGGCAGCAGTGGGCAATGAGTCCTCCTAAGGGCTGAGAACACCTTTGTTTCAGCAGAGCTCACTGTTTTGGCTGCTGAAAGGAGTGGGGGGATGCATTCTCACCTTACACTGTATAACACTCCCAGGTCTGTCCAAAATCTTCATGTACCAAGGACATGCAGGGTGGACAGCCAGCCACATTTAACATTTCAGCTGTACAGACTGACTAAAGGTGTGTGCCAAGAGACCCACTGATCCATTCCAGAAGTTGTTCTCTTAAGGGACACACAAGTTCTCAAAGGAAAGCCAGGAATAACTAGGTAGGACAACCTTTTCTGCACAGGGATCTGCACAGCAGTGGCCTTTCCTCCTGGCTGACTGCCCAGGCCCATCAATCCTCCTCCCTCTCGATGTAGGGTTTGGTGCTGACCCGGGCCATCTGCCGGGCCAGGTACCGGTCCCGTGCTGACATCACCGTCTCCTCGTTGCTCCTTTTGGCAAATTTGCTCAGGGCCTCAGGTGCTTTCTGTGCTTGCTCCTTCTCATCTTTCTCCCCTTCTTCTCCAGCTTTACGTTTCTGCTCAGACATTCCAGAGCTGGAGCTTCCCTTCTCATCCACCTCTCTGTCTTTTCCCTTTCTCTCTTTTCCCAGATTACTCTCTCCACCTTTTTCCAAAGATGTAGGAGTACCTTCTCTTCTCTCTCTGTATTTCTTTTCCTCACTGCCATATTTCTCTCTCCTCTCCTTTGTATGATCTTCCCTTTCTCTGTATTTCTCTCCTCTCTCCTTCTCCCTGTCATTATATCTATCTTTATCATTTCTGGTTCTTTCTTTCTCTCGTTCCTTCTCTGAGCCCTTCTCCTCTCTCTCCTTTGCCCTCCTCCATTCTCTGCCATGCCCCTCCCTCTCTTTTCTTTCCTTCCCCCTTTGTTTATCATCTTGATCTTCCCTCCTCCTGTGGTGATCTCTATTAGTGTGATCCCCATGCCTGTGTCTCTCTTCCCTTTCCCTCTGGTGATCCTTTTCATGGGTCCTACTTCTCTCATAATCCTTTTCCCTGTACTGTTCATCACTTCCCCTTTTGCTTGGCCTGCTCTCTCCCCTCTGGTGACTTGTTTGGGCTTTGGTGCATGGCTCTTCCTCCACACTGGATGAGCTTGGTGACCTGGAATGCCTCTGGCTTTTGTGATGTTTCACTTCCTCTTCACTGCTCACAGAGTTCTCCCTTCTTTTCTTCTTTTTCAAATTTACTTTACAATGCTTGTGTCTCTTGTCATCATCACTACTATCAGTTCCTAGGTCGGTATCAGCATCTGGATTATTTTCTTTCTTAGAGGGCTTCACTCTTTGTCTTTCCAGTGGGCTTTTGCTCCTTTCGTTGGGTTCATCCTGAGTGTCAGGTTTCTCTTCCTTTATCCTACATTTTTTACATTAGAAAAGAATAACAACATTAAAAAGCCTGAAATCTGGACTTTTCTACAAACTGACTTCTGGTCAGGGCTTAGGCAAGAGATGCTGCTGAAAAGTCTAAGAAAGCAAATCTGTCTGTGGCTCAGGTTCCAGGATTCCAGCACAAAGTGTCCATATCTGTCTCACTGGTGAATGTGAGCTGAGGAGTTTATCTAGAAGAGTTTGACTATGCTAAAGTCTGTGCAGCCTTCACTTAAGGAAAAAAAAACATTAACTTGTAAGCCTGTGTAAGCCTGCTGGCAAGTTACAGGTCTTCCTACGTCTTTGGTCCTCTATTCACATCAAGTAACTATCCAGAGAAGAAGCAGGTTGTGTGTTTTGTGGACAGAGAGAGGAACATGGTTTTTTGATCCAGTATTTCTGAAGATCTCACTTGTGGCTAGACAGAAATTAGCAATTTTTTACAGCTCAAATATTCTTACATGCAAAATGCTGACTCAAAATGCTGAGGGGGTTATGCCTTGCCATTCTCTTCTGGCTGATGAGGAAATCCATGATCACTCACACAAGCCACGTCTCTTCCATTACATCACACAGCTCCAGGAACAGCCTGTGGGGCTCTCTCATGACTCAGCACACCACCAGTGACATTCTGGGTCTGCTGAATGCTTGAAGGCATGGACAGCCTATCAACAACAACTAAAAATTACACTGAAAAGTTTGGTAATTTACTTAGTAATCCAGCTCAAAGGTGGGACTCACTTTAGGGACACTTCTGAGATCTAAAAATGGAGCTGTTTTCTCTCTGTACCCTGCTGTATCACCATGAATAAAAACAAAATTAAAATATACACCTGAGTTTATTTGAAAGCCTTGCTGGAAACACTACAGGACAATTTGTTTCCCCTG